TTTTTTTTGTCTTTTTGAGACAGGGTTTCCCTGTAGCCCCAGCTGTCGTGGAACTCACAGAGATCTGCCTGCCTCTGCCTCCCAAGTGCTGGGATTAACGGCGTGTGCCACCACGCCTGGCAACTATATTTTTTTATGAAGAATATCATAAGACGGGGTGCTTAGAATATGGGAAAGGGCAGCATAATGAGAAAATGAGTAAAGGGTGGACATGAACAGACAGAATTCAGTATTTTAACGTATCACAGGCTGCATAAAAGCAGGCTACACTGGCAACTAAACAGCATGGGCACACTGCTTCCAAAGCACACAGGACAGCTCTGCATGTGCTGCTAAATTCAATTTAAGACGTCCTTAGTACAACTGATGTAACTTAGACATCTTACAGGTGATCTATTTTTAAATAAACGACTGAATAGGCTTTGAGGTTTATTTGTTTTTGGTTTTTTTTTTTCATTTTTTTTCCTCTGTTAACGTGAAAAACCTAAGAACTGCTCGACTTGAAAAGTTTACACTATAGTTCTGTACACAGGAGAAACTATGCCTAACCCCTCAGAAAACAATTTAAAGTCTAGCAATAATAACCATACTGAATATACTTTTTATCACCAACAGAGTTCAGTGAGGAAGCTTCAAAGGGATTTATATTACCCATAAAACATCTCAGATGAAAAAAGTACTTTATGAAAAACATACCGTTAATAAAGGCAAAACAAAATGAGCATTGTAAAATGTTTGAATTAAGGTATCAAATGAAATACTCTGCAGTCCCACCGTAATGCAGTCTGAGTCCTACAAATCGCCCTGCATCAGTTTGCCTCAAAATAACACAATTCCTGTACTGAATCCATTCCATCCATTTTAATAATTAATTCACTCAAATAATCTATTAAATCCAATCTACATTTCCTTTTACCAAATACCAATCTAAAAATCCAGAATGTTATATGATAACTAAATACTAGAAGTTATAATAAGCTAAATCATAACAAAATTTTAAAACAGCACCCAAACTGATTCATTATCACAGATGTAATAAAGCCAGTTGAAATAAAGTTGCCTATATCCTAAGGGGTTTTCTAAACATGGCCTATACAACTAAGATGCCTTCCAAAAATCCTAATGAACGAACTTTCTGAAAACACATCATTGTATGAATGCTTCACAACTTGAAGCTGTGACAGGAAAGGAGAAAACACAACCCCACAGGTCTGTATTAAGGATCTCGTCCTGAATGCACACGAAACATAATCCTGTTATTTCTCTTTCGGGAGGCTTCACAAGAAAGACAACTTTTTCTTTCTACTGAATAACTAAGTGTAAATATTTCCTCAGATACACACCTGCAAAAGCCAAGATTCCTGAGGTGGTATAGATAAAACTAGAAGGTAAAACCAGAAGGTGGCAAATTGGCAGACTCAGGTCTTATTTATATATTTTTAACTTTTTTTAGACTTGTTTTTATGTGATTTTTGTATGTTTGAGTTTCTGAGTGTTTTGCCTGCATATATATAAGAGCACCAATGCTGTGCAATGCCAATGGAGGCCAGAAGAGGGAATCAGATCCCCTGGAACTGGAATTTCAGGTGGTTGTCAGCCATGATGCAGGTGCTAGAAACCAAACACAGGTCCTCTGCAAGAGCAGTCAGTGCTCTTAACCACTGAGACATCTCTCCAAACCTTATTTATATTTTGAGACAATCTTGCCAAGTAGCCCATGCTGGCCTCCAAATCAAGAACCTCCTGCCTCAGGCTTCCAAACACTGAGATTATAGGCATGTACCACCATAAATGGCTTCAAGATCCAAGTCTGTAATTAAAAGGAAAGACTGGGGGGGGGGGGGGGTTGTCCTGAATCTATGTGTGCTGTAACTCTATTTGTAGCAGTTGAAAATTCATATTTTTTCAAGATACCATTTATTTTTATTATACTGTTGCAGACATATACCCAGGGCCTCAAGAATGTCAGACAAACCGTCTACCTATACTGAGCTACATCCCCAGCCTGAGGACACATTTTTAAATGGATCTTTAATAACACAAGCTCAGGCTACAGCTTTTTTAAATCATTTCACTTGTAAATGCATCCATCTTTTGAGTAAAATTTAATCCAAGTAATTGAAGAACAGTTAAAAAAATGGCTAAGCAAACAAGAGTATGCTTAAAATAAGGAAAAAAATTCATTTTAATAAAAAATCATATGAGGCTGGTAAGATGGCTCAGTGGTCCTCTTGTAGAGGACCCAGGTTCTATTCTCAGCACCCACATGTGGGTTCACAACTGTCTGTTAACTCCAGTGCCAGAGGATCTGGCACCCTCTTCTGCCCTCTGTGGGTATTGCAAGCACATGGTACACATACATGCAGGCAAAACACTCTGACACACATAAAATAAAAAGAACTTTATAAAAAAAGAATCACACACACACAAAAAAATCCCCAATTTTTGAAAACTGAGACTATTTCCATGCACCTTCTACTACTGCTGAACTAGGAAATGTTTTAAGTTCTCTAGCTATAGAATTCTGACACACTAATGATCTAGGATAAGAGAGTCAGGATCAACAGCCTGCAGGCCAAAGCTACCTGACATCCATTTTGTAAAAAGTTGTATTGGAACACAGCAGCACTCATGACTTATAGACTGCTGAGGAGTGCTACCATGCCACAATGCCAGAGATAACAGCTAGGTTATTCACCTATTCTATCCCATTATTTATAGAAAGTTCTTCAACCCTGAATCTAGAACTCTCTAGATCACTAGTCTACAATGAAGTATACTAATGGCATCCAGGATATATAACAAGTTTTGTTTACATAGCACTGTTCCAACTAGTAAGTAAGTCAGTATCTCTGGTCCTCAACAAGATCTATTAATGTAATCATTACAAGAGAAAAATAACCTTATTTCAAACATTCCCCTTGACACTTAAGACCCAGCAGCACTTAACTGAAATACTGAAGACCAAAGTGCTTCGGATTTTAGAATATTTGCAGACTTGACAGCTAGGATCCAGACACTTTTGATGATGAACACAAACTTTCAGGTCCAGAGACTTCCGGTCTAGTGTTTTCAGGGAAGCTCAAGTTGTCCCACCACCACCATGCGGAGAAACCAACCAAAAAGTGCCCTGCTAGGCCACACTGGGGTTTTAGGGAACCTTGTAAATCTAAATTCCTTTAGGTCAAGGACTGGTAAACTCCTTTTTTTGGGGGGGAGTACTTGTGGGTTTTTTTTGTTTTGGGGGGTTATTTTAGTGGTTGGAATTTTTGCTTTCTGTTTTGCTTTGCTTTGAATTTATAAATAAAGACTGCCTGCACTACCTGTGCCTAAAATATGTACTCCCTGGCCTTACAAAGAAAAGTCTGTTTAGGCAAGCATCCTGCTGGGACTCTCCAAACCTAGCTCTTGCTTGAGCCCAGGAGTTTGGGCCAGCCTGGACAACAAAGTAAGAATCTACCTCAAAAAAGGGAAAGAACGGAAAAAAAGGAGAGAAGAAGAGAGGAGGGGAGGAAGGGAGAGGTCTGCCAACCCTGCCTTTATACAGACCCCGTATTCCTACTTAACAAGATCCATTTTTTTGTTTTTATACACTGCCTGGACGTGGTAGACACTAGTGTATGGGACTCCTGCACAAGTCAATCTTTGGTCTTCTTTACACTGCCAATAATAAACATAACTGCATTATCACATATAGGATTTTAAGCATCTCCTAGAAATAAGTCAAATTCCACACAGTACATGAATATTCATCATATACTTTAGATACATAACATCTAAAGATCTGGATTAGTTTAAGAAAAACCACACAAGTAAAAAATGTTGAACACTGCTACCAAAATTTTAGAAATCAAATGAAAACGGATAGGTAAAAGATAAAACCTCCCTAAGAACAGTTCCACTGACGCATACTTACTCCTTCATTTCTTTGGATGGGGAATTGCATGCAGGAAGGAATGCTGCTGGGCTACTTAATTTATCCAGCGTGCACGCTGTTCCTATGGCTCGTACCACTAACCCAGACTCGCCTTCCAGATCGAAGCACTGTAAGTACCCAACGACTGCGTTTCCTCTCATTTCAAGTACTTTCAAGCCGATCTTTCTCTGAAGTTCACCTATAGGGATTGTGGGAGGGAGGAAGGGAGGGAAGGGGGAGGGGGAGAAAAGAAACTCATTCTTCATATCTTTGCATTGCATATTTTTAAAAAGGTGGATGTTGGGCTGGAGAGATGGCTCAGCAGTTGAGAGCACTCACAGTTCTTGCAGGGGACCCCAGTTCGGTTCCCGGCACCCACAGGGTACCTCACAACTATTCATAATTCCAGTTCCAGGGGATCCAATGCTCTCTCTGGCTACACTGAACACACATGACACACACATGCAGGCAAAACACTCATACACATAAAGTTAAATAAAAATAATATTTTAAAAATAAATAGGTGGACAAGGTAGTGACAAAAAAAGAGTTTAAAAACCATGGCCTTTTGGGCCTGGAGAAATGGCTCAGCAGTTAAGAACACTGGTTGTTCTTGCAGAAGACCCAGGTTCGAATCCCAGCACCCACATGGCAGCTAACAACTGTCTGTAACTCCAGTTCCAGGGGATCTGACAGTCTCTTCTGACCTCCATGGGCATTGCACAAGACGGGTACACTTACCTAATGCAGGCAATACACACATACACATTAAAATAAAAATAATAAATTTTAAAAAAAATCATGGCTTTTCAGAACTTGGCAGGAACTTAAAAGGCCATCTGGTCCAGCCTCCCACTTTCAGGAAGTAAGATGTTAGCAGCTACATGTCAGAAGCATGACAAGTCACGCTCACTCCTGCACAGGCCTCACTCGACCACCAGTACTGCACTGTGCACTGTGCACTGGTGCTCCTCCCACCTCCTCAGAGCTACACGTGGATGAGCAAGAGCTTTGAATTCTAAATGCAAGAATGGGGCGGGGGAGTGACTCAGTAAGTGTTTGACATTCGAGCCTGAGGACCTAAGATCAGGATCCCCAGTACCCACATGGGAGTAGAAAAATTTCCACAAGTTGTCCTCACACAAACACACACAGTGACACATGCACAAAAAGTAAATGAATGAAAAAACCGAAACAACAACAGAAAGCATCTCCCGATGACCAAGCCTGGGGAAGAGGGCGCAGGAGAATCCCTCCTGGCCAACTGGCGAGCTCCAGGTTCAGTGAGACTCTGCATCAGAAAACTAAGGGAGAGCGCCATCAAGGAAAATATCTGATGTCAACCTCTGGCTTACACACATGCACACACATACATGACACACAAACACATTCACATATACACTCACACAAATACACAAACAGGCTCCACATCTACTGCATTTAAACACTGCCAGGATAAAAAGGTAATAAAACAAGCGAACAAAAAATAATACAGACAGAGAATATGAAAGCACAACAAAGGATAGAGAGCCCCGTGTCATATGCTGTAATACCAATACACAGCACAAACAATACCAATACAGTGCACTTAATTAAATGTGACATCTTTGTATTTGTCTGCATGTCTTATAAGACTATATGTGCACAAATGTACACACAAAATATTAACTTTTAGATGGTAAGTTCTCCAAAGAGAACTTTTAAAAAGATAAAGGGGTAATACAGAGGGAGCTATGTAGCGAGTTCCCAGGAAAGGACTGTGCAAAGGCAACATTCAAACAGGGCATTAGAGACAAATCTGCTGATTCGCCTAATCTCTGACTACAAATAAATGCTAAAGGGAGAAAAACAGAATGGCTCCCTGCTCAGAGTTCCTTCCCAAATCTCCACTCATGCCTGCTCCACTATACACTTAAGAACACAATTTCCTTTTACTACCTTGTTAAAAAAGGGATTTTAAGGAACCAAAGAAATAGCCCCATTGGTAAGATGCTGATATTATAAGCATAAGGGTCTGGGTTCGATCCTGAGAAACCATGTAAAAAAATCTGGCACAGTAGCTCACCCTTGGAATCACAGAGGACTGGAGAGGCTGACAAAGGTAGATTCCTAGAGGTCTCCAGGTAGCCCAATTGGCTAGTTCCTCCAAGCGGCGGGGCCTGCGAGGGTGGACTACTGAGGGGCTGCTGGGAGCCATCTGGAAACGGGTAGCATGTGGCGGGTAGCATGTGGCGTACTCAAGGACAGAATGGCCTGTCAGAATGGACCTGGGGCAAGACCACTGGCCCCTGAGGTAGGAATGGTCTGATATGGCGGGGCTGAGCCAGGCATGGTGCTCATTTCCTTGTAAGTCACTCCTCCCCTGACAATAATAAATACACATAAAGATATGTTATATGGTTTGTCTGATCGCACAAGAGACCCCGAGAGAACTCAGGCTACATCAACCTAGCCTGGTGAGAGCCAAGCCAGTGAGAGACCCTCCCTCAGAAAAAGAAAAGGTTGAGGAAGCCTGGCGAACACCTGAAACTGTACTCTGGCCTGCACACACACCCCACCCATATGCACGTTCACACATACGTATGGGCTTGTTAAAAATACTCAACAGAATGAGATCTGGGGTAAGAAATCAAGTCACAATTTTTTTTTGCCTTTGTTGCAAATTTTCAGGTCACGTATGAAAGAAAACAGAAAATTCTAAGAAGATTAAATCAATCAATAGTGAAGTTACTTTACTAGAATACCTGACATTAAAGAAATCAGTCTCTGTCTGGCCTCATTTGATGCCCTTGGTGTGCGAATCCGATCAATCCACTGATATTCAGGGTCTTCATTGACCACGAGCTCTTCTACAAATCCATGAATTATCACAGCTCTATAGCACTTGGGGATAGATGTTGCTGTCAAAATAAATTACCTATTATCTTTCCATTTACCACACAGCAAAATTCAATATTTTTTAAATTTATTATTGTTATTTTATGTGTCTGTGTGTATTGTCTGCATGTAGGTAAGAACACCCATGTCGTGCAATGCCCTTGGAGGACAGAAGAGGCTATCAGATGCCCTGGAACTGGAGTTACGGACAGTTGTTAGCTGCCGTGTGCGTGCTTGGATTCGAACCTGGGTCTTCTGCAAGAACAACCAATGTTCTTAACCACTGAGCCATCTCTCCAACCCCAAAATTCAAGTTTTTAAAAAATATGCATCCAGCTGGGCGTGGTGACACACACCTTTAATCCTAGCACTTGGGAGGCAGAGGCAGGCGAGTTCCAGGACACCTGGGGCTACAGGGAGATGATGTCTCAAAAACCAAAAAAAAAAAAAAAAAAAAAAAAATGCATCCAAGATTTTATGTTTTGGCTATATAATACAAGAACATCTTTTAGTATATAATCTCAATGTAATTATAATACTTCTGCTCAAAGTCTTCTAAGATCTGTCTTATCCTAAAAATAATTTTGATTCATGAGGCCTCAGACTTTCTCACATAAGAACAGTAAAAGCAAACTATACTTTCATGATTTAGGGAACAGCTATAGACATATAACTGTTCAATACAAAGTTTAAGAAAATCAAAATCAATCAAAATATCATACAGCAACACATAAATTTTATCTATCAGTTAAAAATAAATTTAAGTTTAAAAAATCAAAATGAATGTAAGTTAGCTGATTATAATGTAAGAGGCAGGAGGCAGATGGATTTTTTTAATATTTTTTATTTATTATTTTTATGTATTTCTGTATATGTATGAGTCTATTGCCTGCACATATGTGAATGCACCCATGTTGTGCAATGCCACGGAGGTCAGAAGAGGGCTTCGGCTCACCCTGGAACTGGAGTTAAGGATGGAATGTAGCTGCCATGTGGGTGCTGGTAATCGAACCCGGGTCCTCTGCAAGAGCAGTAAGTGCTCTTAACCGCTGAGCCATCTCTCCAGCCCCGGATTTTTAATTTAATTACTCAAAGCCTATTGAAAAGTTTTTCTCACCTCACACTAGTCTCAAAGTCAAACCCTGCAGGGCTGCATTTCGAGTAGAATCCATGACCACAGGAGTAACTGGCGTGGCTATCACTAGACTAATTAACAGAGCCATGGAGTAGGCACTCATTTCACACTCATTTAAATAATGGATCATTAGGTTTAAATATGATCTCATCAGATTCAAAATGGGAAAGCAGTCTCTCAAAAAGTAGTCTCTCAAAAGATACATTCACATGCTGATACTAACACTTAGGGATTTTCAAACACTAAGACAGGTTGGTGTTTACGGCCCCAATCTTCCCAGTGTAGAGACATGTAGTCCCAGTCCCGGAGCTTCCCGCACAGAGAAGTCTGTGCTCGAGGAATGCTTCACAGTGCACAGCGACAGCACCCATCTACAGTGTTCTATCCTACAGGAGAATACCTCTGGATTTTTCTAACAAAAATTTCCATGGGTGTGTAAAAATTAGAAGCCATTTACTCTGAAATCAAATGAACAGTCAAAGCTGCAGTGACTGTGTCTGGAACATTAAGAGTTTTTCTCTTTGGCATCAAAACCACTCTTAATACTTTTTCTATTAATCTTCTGAAATCTTAATTTGATTTTCCACATTTAAAAATCATTAAACTTTCCTGTTAAATAAGACAGTACATTTACTTACTGCAAAAGAATTTGACTCCACACGATGACTGTCTAAATCTATTTAAATCATTGAAGAGGTCTACTTTGACAATGACGTTGATTTCTCCACGGATACCTACAGATTCAAAAGGAAATCAAGTCTCTAAGTTAAAAGAATAACATACAATTAAATGGTGCAAATAGACAGCAGTCACTGACTTTTAAACAATGGGTCACCCTGACAGCAATGTGAGCTCTCTTCCCAGTTGTTTTCATCCCTGGCACTTTCCTTACTCCGTCTTCTGCAGCAGAGCACGGTGGCCCGGGACAATGCAGAACTACCTCACGTCTCCATTTACTTGAGCTAGGACTGCCCAAAAGGAGCTCCACTTGAACTGATGTGGTGGGAAGACCTGCTGAGCACTGAGCAGTGACTAAACACTTCCCCTCAGCACCTCGCTGTACTCACATTAACCTAGTGCAGTCACCTCTAAGAAGAAACAGCATTTAATTAGTTAACTCACATCGTGTCAGTAACTAGTAAGTGAAAGGGCAAGGGTCAGAAGTCAGTTCTCAATGATACCAAGGATATACTCTTAACACCAGGTTCTGATTTAACAGTTGAATTAATCGGCGCTTTATTTAACCATAAACTAGCATGAACGTTTTTATAAAAATAGTTAAATATTTGTAAAAAATTTGTGGTAAGAGTGACATGGTGATATTTTTGCAAATCTCTATGTCCAGTTAATCAGTCTCATTTCTACACTGTTCAACTTATGGTACTATGTGTCCTAACAGATCTAACAACATTATGTACTGGTGTGAGTGAGAATGAGAACAGTGAATGACACGAATATTACACTAAACAGTTCTCAACTCCAAGACCTATGAAAGCACTTCAAGGACCTCAAGTGTTCCTATATACCTGACTTTTTTTTTTGAGACAGGCTAGCCTCAAACTCACAATCCTCCTACCTCAGCCTCCCAAGTCCTAGGATTGCAGTCATGTACCATCAGGAAAGGAGTATCAGTATTAGTCAGCTTGAAAATGTATTTTAGAAATATAGGGTATCACTACATTAGCCTGTGTTTTATTTTCTTTCTTTTTTCAAGGCTAACACTCATCCCAGAGTACAGCGCATGCTAGAAAAGTCCTCTACCACAGAGCTAACCCCAGCCCCTCAAGATAATTGTTAAATAATGCATTTACTTACTTTATCACACAAACTTTTTTCAAGGATTATAAGATAGTATAATAGCATATTATTATCAAGAATGAATATACAGATAGCAATAACAGTGACTCAGTGTGTAAGGATTTAGAGAAACACCTCAGCTTTCCACTTCGTGGTATATCTCTTACCAACAATTCAGTGGGCTAACAGGCTGACAAAGGAAGCCAGCATCCTCAGGATGAGAACAGGGCTTTCTCTGCATTACAGAGCAGCACTCCAGAGCAACTTTGAAGGGATTTGAAGGAAAACAGCTTGAGGAGAGCTACTTCCTGTTCCCAGGTGAGCTCTGTTACTCTTGAGTATTCTGAGGATTAGTACCAGGACCAAGAGAGGTAGTGAATTATGAGACATCTTCAGTTCCCTATCACACAAATCTTAACAGGCACGTTAACCTATGTTCGGAGAAGTAACAAATCTATAATACTTCACTCACTACTTGTCTGTTTCTCAAAAGGCATCTTTTAAAGATACATACTTTTTTTTTTTTTTAAGTCTTTTTGAGACAGGGTCTCCCTGTAGCCCCAGCTGTCCTGGAACTCACTATGTTGACCAGGCTGGCCTTGAACTCACAGAGATCAGCCTGCCTCTGCTGGGATTAAAGACGTGTGCCACCACGCCTGGCCCCCAAGATACATACTTTTAAAAGGCCAAGTGCAGCATCGGGATAAACACAAAAGATGAAGACTGTGATTCCTCTCCTTACACGGTCACTCACCATGGATGGTGTCATAAATTGGGAACCACCCTGAGATGACTGTGGCCGCTTCGCTGTACAGTAAAGGGTCGATATCAATGTACACTTTCCCAATGGCGTCATTTGCACTGTAGGTATCATGGTCGAGAACTGTGATCTGTAGGGGCTCATCCTGTAGATCTTCATCGTCCACCTAAAAAGCACACCTGGAAATTACATCTTACACTTTCTATACATGTACCAAATGATGCAGATAGTTTACTTCTGGAAAAGAAATCTTACAGATTTATCTGTAAGGACAGAGGTATAGTGATTAGCACACACACAAAAACACTATAACTAGGGTCTAAGGCCTAGCATACACAAGGCCTTGAGTTCAAGCCCTAGAACTGGAAAACTTAAAAACTCTCTCAGAAATACTTTAAATGTTTAAGTTTTCAGCAGCAAAGCCAACACCCACTGAGGCTGCATTTCTCAGCCTTTCTTCAACTGGTAAGTTAAAAGCACAGCTATTACACAGAGTTGGGCCGGGGGGGGGGGGTCCTAAACTAAAGAGGCTTTCCACAGCTGAGAAATGTGTGCTGCCTCCTCTCCCTCCTGTACTCCCTCCACTCAAACTCCACTGCCAGCCTGGAACACTGACATGATCCCCTGAGCTCCAGCTGCTAGCCTGGAGCCTAACATGGCCTTTACATAACATGGTCACTTTACATAAAAGACAAAGGGGCTGCCGAGGTGACTCAGTGGTTAAGAGCACTGGTTGCTCTTGCAGAGGACCCTGATTCGCTTCCCAGTACCCACGTGGGGGCTAACAACTGTCTGAAACTAGAGTTCCAGGGGATCCAATGCCCTCTTCAGACTTCCATGGGCATGACACAACATAGGTGCTCTGACGTACATGCAGGCAAAATACTCATAAAGACAATAAAACCTTTTTTATAAAGCCACAGGCTTCTAATATGTGCACAACCAAGAAAACGGAAGGGCCCTAGATACAAGATGGCTGCAGGAACTGCCATTCTGCCCTTACTCCGCACACTTCGTTGTTTTTACTCCAGAGAAAAAGGAACATCTATTGTTTAAGCATTCCAGTATTTAACCAAGTGAATGTAGTTCACAATTGAAAATAAGGTTAAAAAGAACTCTGAGCTGTTAACTGTAAGCACAACACTTCTGCACATTAGGACACTGTAAACAGTATTAGGAACACTAGTCAAAACAGAAATTTACCACATTTTGACAAATTAGTTTGTGAAATTCATTATTATAAAAACCCTTTACACTTCAAAAAATACAAACTTTTTTTTGTTGTTTTTAGCATTCATTTTTATTTGATGTGTACGAGTGTTTTGCCTTTATGCATAGCATGCCCAAGGAAGTCAGAAGAGGCCATCAGATCCCCTGGAACTGGAGTTACAGGTAGTTATGAGCCACCATGTGGGTTCTCAGAACTACATCTGGTTCCTCTTGCAAGAGCAGCAAGTGCTCTAACCACTGAGCAATCTCTCCCACCTTCATTTTTTGAGGGTTTTTATTTTATTCATTATTATTTTTATTTTATATGCATGAGTGTATTGCCTGCATGTATGTAAGTACCTGTGTCATCCAATGTTCACAGAGGTCAGAAGAAGGCGTTGGCTCCCCTGGAACTGGAGGGATAGATGGCAATTTGCTGCCATCTGAGTGCTTGGAATTGAACCCGGGTCCTCTGCAAGGGCAGCCAGTGCTCTAACCACTGTACCATCTCTCCAGCACTGCCCCCCCCTTTTTTTTGCTTTTGCTTCTTGTATTTTTTAAATAAGCTCCTTAAGTACTCTTCAGTCTTAAAAATTATGCAGACTGTACTATCATGTAATGAAATGCTATTTCTCAAAAAATCGATGTCATAGTATCACAAAAACCCTATTCACACAAAGGCTTCCTCCCCCTTACCATTCAAAACAAAATGTCACTAACCAACCACAACCACTTGTTTTTAACCATCTCTAGGTCAGAGGGTGGTGAAAGTCAGAGTAAAATTATGTGGAACGTGCACATGCCTTTGATCCTAGCAGTGAGGAGGCTGAGTCAGGAGCATCATGAGTTTGAGACCAAACCACAGCTCCAGGCTAACCTAAGGCTATATAGCAAGGTCTTGTTTCAAGAGGAACTCCTGAGAAATAATATTAAATTTAAGTTAAAATTAGAAAGCAATGTAAGAAATCAAGGGTTTTTCTAAGGCAATGAAGATGCACTCTGTAATTTTAATTCCATCTGATATCACATAACAAGTTACTCTGCTAAGCCCACACTTCTAATAGCTCAGTGACAGGGAGGGTGGGAGGGGCCAGGCAGCTCTCTGTGAGATGGAGGCCAGCCTGGACTACACAGCAAGGTTAAGGCCAGCTGGAGCCACTGGAGACCCTGTTTTGAAAAGAAAAAGGAGTAAGACTGAGAGTGTGCACAGCAAACCCTTCAAAATACATAACACATTGTAGAAAGTACTAAAAATTTATGCAGACATTAGTGAAAATACGAGTGAAAATGATTCAAAACAGAAAAATAAACAAGTACATGTGTAAAAAGAAACAAATTGGAGGCACACTTCCTGATTTCAAAACTTACTACAAAGCTACAATAACCAAAACCAACCACTAACAGCCTAACAAGAGATATACAAGCCAATGGAACAGAGTCCATACATGCACATCCAACCTATTCTTTTCAATTTATTTCAAAGGTACTGTTACATACAATTAATTGACTTCCAGTACAATGGTCTAACAGACAACATGGAGTTATTAGTACAAAGAAATTATCCTCCTTAGGGAGATCCATCTCCTTGGAAACTTGTGAGTAAAACCTACTGAAAAGCAAAGAGTTGTTTCTACAACTGAATCAATCCTTTGGTAGAAAACTGAGACATGGCCAGGCTACTCAGATGAGGTACTCCTCTAAAGAAGCCCAGGCATAGTTCACATGGCTATAATAAACAACAGTGGCCACTGTCTAGGAATTCTCTGATTTCACAAGTGAATACCTTATTTGGTGTAAACTGAGGTTTAAGTATATATATCAACAAAAGTTTTTCAACATGCCAATTATCTCTTTAGCATACCTAAACTACTCACACGTCTACAACCACATTAACGTATGTCTCAAACCAGCCTTAGGCCTTTAAACCCTGGATGACTCGTCCCAAACCTGACTCATTTAAAAATACAATTCCATTTTTTTTTTTTTTTTTGTCTTTTTGAGACAGGGTCTCCCTGTAGTCCCAGCTGACCTGAACTCACTATGTAGACCAGGCTAGCCTTGAACTCACAGAGATCCACCTGCCCCTGCCTCCTGAGAGCTGGGATTAAAGGTATGCGCCACCATGCCCAGCACAATTCCATATTTTCACCAGTGTCAATTCGTATTAACATGCACAGTGACTTTCCTGTATGAACACATAATTTAAAGCCACCTCAGTGCTCTTCTAGAAAGGCTGAACTCTGGGAAAAATGGAAGCTCAAACTGGTACGATGGTAGGTGTGAGGACATTTATAAATTGCAAGCACAGGAATCAAACTTCAGTGCTCTTAGCTCAGACATTGGGATTTCACAAGCAGCTAATCAGTCTCCCAGCCCTTATGGAGTAAGTTTTCTGGCACTAAAGGAGAAATCACAGTCCCACCCCAGACCACAAGCAAAGCACAGTCCAGAAGCCTGGGTGTGATTTCTTCCCTCTACTGGTAGGTACTGGAAGGCCCAACAAAATCAAAGCATCTTTTAGCTAAGTCAAAAACACTGGGCTTGGCTTGGTCGCTTTCCTTGAAGGACACACCTGCCCTGTAGGTGCTACACTTTCCCCAGGCTGCATGGTAACTGTGAAACAAAGCACAAAAGAGCCCTCTGCTGCCACACATAAGGAGCGGCATGAAACAGGAGGGGAGGAAAAAGCATGGTCCTCACAAGGCTCATACACAGTCCAGTGACATTCCAAAGAGCCTACTTCCGGCCAGGTGGGGTAGTGTTCTCAAGGAACAGGCAACATACGTAATAAACTCGTATGGCCAGCTACTCCATACTCTTCTGAGTGCTGATACAGTGGTTAACAAAATCCAGAAAGTAGGGAACACATTAGCACAGAGAGCAGTAAGTGGCTGGGCAGGGCTGTTCGCATTCTAGGAGACGGCGGGAGAGAAGGCACTTCAAGCCTCGGTGGGGGAGACAGAGAAGTGATATGGAGCCTTGGAGTCAAACAGTCTTCACTTTGATTGCTTAGCCTTACCATTTAGCTAACTCCAAGGTGGATTTCAGAATCATTTGTAAAATAAAGATGACTATGAGGTTGGGAACTATAATGAGATTGATGCAGATAAAAGGCTTCACCAATGTCTGGCACTAGTCCATGTAATTTAAGTGAAAGATGTCTTTTTCCAATGCTTTACCTTCCTGTCTCCAAAGTGGACAACCATACGTGGAATCTCTTGAAGTTGGACATGTCAGAAGGCTGACTCAATCCTTCAAAAACAAGCAACTACACAGAGGAAAAACGCAGACAAGGAGAGAGCTCAGCACATGACGCAGACAATTTTACAGAGCATTCACGGAGAAGCAAGGGGGCTAAGGAGACCAGTCAGAGGCAGAACAACATGGAAGACTGGAGTAAGGATGAAAGTACTCCAGAGAGTCATGAAACACCCCGTCATCCTAGAAAGAGGACCACTGCTGGACAGAAGAAAAAGCACAGGAAGAAGAGGGAAACAGACCTGGAAGAGGAGACAAGAACGCCTAACCCTCTGAGAAGATCCCCAAGTACAGATCCATTTGACAGACCCGCAGCCCGCCTCCTTGGTCTCAGCAGCCTCCCTCAGCCAGACTCTCCTCTACCATCACCTCAACTGTCTCTCAATTCCTGCCCCACCCTCACTCACCTTTGATCCTTTGCTGTCGCCAGCCTCCCTACCTCTCCAGATTCACAATCCTCTGTACTAACCCACAACCCCTAAGGAGAAGGAGAACTGGTCCCGAGGCCTGGTCTATAGCTCACACATGTCCCATCGCTGACTTTTTAACATTTGTTTTTAATTATATGTAAATGTATACACTGGTGAGCGCACTTGCCCATGGAAATCAGAAGAAGTGCTGAATCCCTAGACCTAGAGTCACCGGCAATTGTGAGCTATCGGACAAGGGTTCTGGGAACCAAACTCTGGTCCTCTGCAACAGGATGCTCTCTCAACCTCTGAGCCATCTCTCCAGCCCCCAGTTAACTTTAATTTTTATTTATTTATTATGTATATGAGTGTTTTACCTATATACATGTATGCATACTGTGCCCAAAGAGGCCAGAAGAGGACATCAGATTCCCTGGAAATGGAGTTACAGACTGTTGTGAGCCATGATGTAGCTGCTGGGAACTGAACCCAGGTCCTCTCCAAGAGCCAGTGCTTTTAACCAGAGCCATCTTCCTCCCAGTTGACACTCTTTATATATGTATGAATGTATTGCCTGCATGTATGTAAGTGTACCCGTGTCATGCAATGCCCAAGGAGGTCAGAAGAGGGCATCAGATTCCTCTGGAACTGGCATTCCAGGTAGTTGTTAGTCACCATGTGGGTGCTGGGAATCAAACTCAGGTCCTCTGCAAGAACAGCCAGTGAGCCACCTCTCTAACTCCCTAGCTGACTTTTAAAAGAGTACTAAGACTTTTCAAGGAAGAAAGAGGACTCTTTTACAAATAGTAATGATCTGACTGAACTTCTACATGCAAAAGAAAGAAGTCAGCCTCTTCCCTCACATGCCACTACAAAAATTAACTCAAAATGAATCATGACCTATAAAGAGTTACACCATGAAACTCTTAAAAGCAAAGGAAATGCACTTTTGTTGTAGAAACAGAAAACATAAACAGCACATGAACCTGTGTACACTGAACTTCATCACAAACTTCTGTACATCAAATAATTACCAAGACTATAAAAGGCAGGGCTGGAGAGATGGCTCAGCGGTTAAGAGCACTGACTGCTCTTGCAGAGGACCCAGGTTCGATTCCCAGCACCCACATGATGGCTACAAACCTTCCTTAACTCCAGTTCCAGGGGAATCCAAAGCCCTCTTCTGACCTCCGTGGCACTGCACAACACGGGTACACTCACATATATGCAGGTAGTACACTCATACACATAAAATAAATAATAATATTAAAAAAAAGACTGTAAAAGGCAACCTACTGAATGGAAGAAAGTATCTGCAAGAAGTGTATCTGACAGGAACAAATATTAAAAAGCATAAACAGTCAAGTGCAGTTACACCTGCAGTCTCAACTTCTCAGGAGGTCGGGTCAAGGTCACTTCAGTCCAGGGTTTCAAACTGACCAGGAGCAAGAGTAAGATACCATTCCTCAAAACTAAAAATATAAACTGGGCCTATACCCATAATCCCAGCTCTCTGAAGATGGAGGCAGAAGGATCAGAAGTTCAAGGTCATCTTCAACTACAAAGTGAATCCTACCATAAGCAAATTCAAAGAAACAGAAAACAGATCAGAAGTTACCAGGGTCTGGGGAGAAGAAGAAATGGAAAGTTATTGCTCAGCAAGTACAAAGTTTCTGTTGAGGGTAATGAAGCAGCTTTGGAAACAAATGTGGTGTTTGCAAAACACTGTGAATGTTTTGCTACTGAAACACACACAGAAATAAAGCTAAGTGTGGTGGCGTGCACCAGCTACTCAGGAGGCCAAGGCAGGAGGGTCTCAATTCAAGGCCAGCTTGGGTTATTCAAGACTTGGTCTTTAAAAAAAGTAGAAGAGAGCCGGGCATGGTGGCGCACGCCCTTAATCCCAGCACTTGGGAGGAAGAGGCAGGCAGATCTTTGTGAGTTTGAGGCCAGCCTGGTCTACATAGTGAGTTCCAGGACAGCTGGGGCTACAGGGAGACCCTGTCTCAAAAAGACCAAAAAAAAAAAAAAAAAAAAAAAGAAAAGGGGGGTTATAAAAAAAAAAAAAAAAAAAAAAAAAAAAAACGTAGAAGAGTGGTTACTGCCAGGCACAGGGCTGCATGCATATAAATCCTACCACTTGGGATGCAAAGACAAAAGGATCAAGAGATCAAGGCAAACCTTGACTACACAGTGAATTCAAGGTCAGCCCCAGGCTGCATGAGATCCTATCTCAAAAAATTAAAACAATTTTTTAGGGCAGGTGTGGTGGTACAGTCCTTTACTCCCAGCACTCGAGGCAGAAGCAGGCAGATCTCTATGAGACGCAGGGCAGCCTGGTCTATATAATGAGTTAGAGGTCAAGTGGGGCTACGGGGAGACCCTGAGTCAAAACGAACAAACATACAAACAAACACTGGTTAAATGGCAAAAAAAAATTGTTTTTTACATCTGTACACTGTTCTTCAGAAATTTCAGGCACATCTTAGAACCCAAAGACAACTCCAAAGAGTATCATACATGTGAGAACATGTTTCTTATCTACATTATCATATTATTTTCTTAGCTACAATACAGTGTCTTAAAAGGTCAATGTTCCCAGAAAACAGAAAAGGAGATACTTTTATTTTACACGTAAGAGCACACTGCCTCCTCCACTGCCTCCACTGCCTCCTCCACTGCGGCCTCCACTGCCTCCTCTGCCTCCACTGCCTCCTCCACCGCCTCCTCCACTGCCTCCACTGCCTCCTCTGCCTCCACTGCGTCCTCCACTGCCTCCTCTACTGCCTCCACTGCGTCCTCCACTGCCTCCACTGCCTCCATGTGTGTAAGTGCACCCATGTCATGCAATGCCCACTGAGGTAAGAAAGAGGGCGTTGGATTCCCCTGGAAAGGGAGTTACAGATGATTGTTAGCCACCACGTGGGTACTGAGAATCAAACCCGGGTATCTGCAAGAGCATTCAGTGTTCTTAACCATCTCTCCAGCCCCAGAAATACTTTTAAGGTATACAAAGCTACTATATTTAAAATAGAAGTGTTTATCATTGCCAGGCAAAAAGCTTTAACACTCAAAAAAAAAAACTGATATTTAACAACTTACCTCAAATTTGAACCATTCTGAGTTCCACTGAGGGTTCAGTGACTTGAGGTACACATCTGTTTTAAAGGTGGTGTTACCAAATTTTACCTAAAAACAAAGAAGAAACTATTCAAATATAAACAGCAAAACCATGAATAAAAGTAAATGTTAGAGCAAAGTGACGATGACCAAATGGAGGAAAAAAGACAAATGTCCTAAGACAAGAGGAAGAAGGGGTGGAACCGCCCAGTGAGCTGGTGGACAGGACACATGGTACAAGGGGTCACCTGCTGGTCCACAGGACCAGCTCCATGAGAAAATGAAAATGGCCATCACTGCAGGGGCACAGAGGGAATCAGGACGTGCAGTTGAGGAAGGACAACTAAAAAATAAGACAGTCCGCTCATCATCTAAGCAAGAGAATCCAGAACTCTGCTCTTTCTGCCCCCGTTGTTCGTGGCACAAAGTCTCCTTGGCACCAGATCACCAATAGATGACCATGAATCTACCTCTCAGTCAGGATGCCCGGCAGGCTTCCCTCACTACTGCAGCCTGCCTTCCGCAGCGCCAACCTTTATCAGGAAGCTGTCTTCCACTCTGACAGCGTGACTGTTTTTCAACACGTATCAATGAAGTAGAATATACTCCAACAGAAATGTGTAAAGTACCAGGAAAAGCTGAGAAGTGTATTAACGGTGCACCTTCTGAAAAAAACTAAAGCTAGTGGTTTCAAAATAAAATTAAAATCTTTTAATTTTTATTTTATTTTTTAGTTTTAGTGTTTAATTTTTTGGAGGCAAGGTCTCCCTATAGCGCCAGCGAGCCCAGAATTCCCTATGAAGAGCAGGATGGCCTCGATGCCACTGAGATCCACCTGCCTCTGCCTCCCCAGTGCTGGGATTAATGGCATACACTACCACGCCCAGCTTTAAACAAAAAATTTTTTAAAGTGTACAGCTGAGTGTTTTCACTTGAGGCTGAGATTACAAGAGAGACCCATCATTCCCAGCTTTAAAGGCACCTTCAATTTTTATTCTCAGCTTATTACATAGGTAAAAGGAAATATGATATCATAAATCAAGGAAAATCTGCATTTTGAAATATTTTAGATGCATTGTTGCTTAATTTATCTACAATTGCTTTATTTGAAGTAAAATGTTTCCTAGGACTTATAAAACCATTCAAAAACCAGATGTACTTAAGGGTGCTGACTCTCCTGGCAGAAAAAAACCACAGAATCGGGGCTGGAGAGATGGCTCAGCAGTTAAGGGCACTGACTGCTCTAGCAGAGGCCCCGGGTTCAATTCCCAGCCCCACATGGTGGCTACAAACCATCCTTAACTCCAATTCCAGGGGAATCCAAAGCCCTCCTCTGACCTCCTCAGCATTGCACAAGACAGGTGCACTCACATACATGCAGGCCATACACTCATACACATAAAATAAAAATAATAAAAATATTTAAAAACACACACACACACACAAAATGTTTTAAGTTCTAAGTTCACAGCCATCTTTTTTCTCCAACCCTATGTTAACACTGTATCTCTTTCTTTTTACCAACTGTCCACCCTAGGTATCTTAAAAACATATATTAAGCAAACAAAAAACATAATCGCAGAAAAAGGAAGGTTAGACTGGACTACATGCTTTGCCAGCCCTGTGAGGATTTATAGGAGGACAATCACAGTCCGTGCAGTCTTATTTAACAAAGATTTTATTACTCAGCAATTAAATGAGTCTTACAACTTCCTAAAAGAACAGGGATTTGAATGAGATGCTCACAGTAAAGTAAGATGTTTTTTATTTCCTTACTCATTAATTACCTTGAGGAAGTTATTTAACCTGTTATTTAAATATGCTTTTTCTTCTAAGGAGCAGAATTGCCTTGAACATTTCATGAGATTACGCATTTAAAGACCTACAGAAACATCTGGTATAATGAAAAACTGCATATTCATTTCTTTTTCTCTCCTTATACCCTTCAAGACTCTTGGAGAAGCACACCATGACAGTACAGTTCAGCCTATTTAACAACATGCATACTGAGACCCCCTTCGTGAGTAGTCCTTTGTACAGAGCCTGGTTGTACTCTCAGTGCTGGAGACAAGCTGGGCCATGCATACTCTAGCACTGAGCACTAGCCCTGCCGAGAACAAGCACCTGTATATTCAGTAAGTACTACTTGGTCTTCACTTATCAACTCTTCGTATCACAGAGTGGAAATTCTTCAGTCAACACAGCCTAGACCAACACCAGACCAGTTATTCACGGAACTTGGTTAGTCACTAAAAACAGTACAAGTTCAGCAGCTAAAAATGTTTGCCACTGCAACCTGATAACCTTAGCGTACTTCACAGAAGCCACAGTGGAAAGCAGGAGCCCTGGCCTCCATGTAGGTGCCATGGCATGTGAACATCTGCACTCACTAACACAGTGATAGTAAGTACAGTATTTCTGTGCACATCTGCACTCACTAACACAGTGATAGTAAGTACAGTATTTCTGTGCACATCTGCACTCACTAACAAACACAGTGATAGTAAGTACAGTATTTCTGTGCACATCTGCACTCACTAACACACTGATAGTAAGTACAGTATTTCTGTGCACATCTGTACTCACTAACACAGTGATAGTAAGTACAGTATTTCTGTGCACATCTGCACTCACTAACACAGTGATAGTAAGTACAGTATTTCTGAAAAATTACAAGCTAAACACATTTTAAAATAAAATACATGTGGCTAGAGAGATGGCTCAGTGGTTAAGAACACTGGCTACTCTTGCAGAGGACCTGGGGTTAGTTCCAAGAACCCACATGACAGCTAACAGCTATCTGTAACTCAAGTTCCAGGGGATCCAAGACCCTCTTCTGGCCTCCGCAGACACTGCACAATACAGATGCACTTAGATGAATACAGGTAAAACACTCATACACATAAAATTTTTAAAAAATTTTTTTTAGTCTTTTTGAGACAGGGTCTCCCTACAGCCCCAGCTAGCCTGGAACTCACTTGGACCAAGCTGGCCTTGAACTCACAGACATCACCTGACTCTGCCTCCTGAGTACTGGGATTAAAGGCATGTGCCACCATGCCCAGCCAAAATAAAATAAAATTTTTAAAAACTTGGGCTGGAGAGATGGCTCAGAGGTCAAGAGCACTGGCTACTCCTACAGAGGACCCAGGTTCGGTTCCCAACACCACATTGTGGCCAACAACTGTCAATAACTCCAGTTCCAGGGGATCCAACACCCTTTTCTGGTTTCTGTGGGCACTGCATGACACACGTACACTTACATGCATGCAGGTTAAACACCCCCACACATAAAACTTTAAAAGTAAATAAGAATATTTGTAAAAAATAAAAAGAGGCTCAAGGTATGGTTCAGTTGTAGAGCACTTGCCTGGCATGCACAAGGCCCTGGTTCCACCCCTGGAACTGAAAAGAAAAATTAAAAATAGTAACAACAATAAAACACACAATCATTCACTCCTGTCTTTAAATGTAAGGCAAAGTCTTTCTGAGTACAGGTCTACTGTCTACAGATTAGCATTACCAGTTTTTGTACAAACTATATTCCTAATACAGAGATTTCCACTGGATTTATGTGGCAGCAGAATTCAAAGTTGGTTGTTAAAAAAAATGTGAACAGGGCTGGAGAGATGGCTCAGTGGTTAAGAGCCCTGACTGCTCTTGCAGAGGACCCAGGTTCGATTCCCAGCACCGACATGGCGGCTACGAACCGTCCTTAACTCCAGTTCCAGGGGAATCCGAAGCCCTCTTCTGACCTCCGCGGCTTTGCACGACACAGGTGCAGTCACATATGTGCAGGCGATACACTCGTACACATAAAAGTAACAAATAAAATATTTTTTAAAAATGTGAACAAAGAATTCTATTTTTTAAAGAATTTTTTCCTAACTCAGAGCAATTTTCAGTGACTATTTCTCTAAGTCTTTGTATCACATTAACTTTGGATACTCATTTTACCAATTTATGTCAAGTTTAAATAAATTACAATAACACACAGCTGTCCCAAACACATGTGGATCTAACTGGAAGTCCTCCTGGTAAAGCGTATTGGCAGGTACGCTGGGCAGTCTACACCATGCGACAGCCAGCAGACTGCAGTCAGTGGGAAGGGTCAGGAGGGCTCTACACACCTGTTCCTACATGAGACTGCTCAGCAGTCTGAGCCGTCAGCAGGATCTCTTCCCAGGTGTTTCAGCATGGGCTCCCCATCGGTTCCTTATGCTCTACACCTCTCTTTGCATTCACTAAGTTGATCTTATTTACCAAAAAAATACTTCTCTCTGCCTGTGGAAATGCTACCATTCTCCAGACCCAACATCAGAATTTCTCCTAACGTGCCAGCTGTGGCCATGCACATCTGTAGCCGCCCTGGGAAGGCTGAAGGGGTAGGGGTGGGATTTCTCACTGGTAGGGAAGTCCTGGCTCCCTGATGTCCCTCTCCTATGAGCTTACACTGCTTACAGTCTACCTTACGTGCCTTACCCCTCTAGCTATAATCCTTCATTATCCTCTTTCTCCTGCTCCAATTTTCTCCTTCCTGCTACATTATTCCTGTCACACGAGTATGTTCCAGAATCTTATTTCCAGAACTGCTAAAGGGCACGTGTCCAGGAGCACAGTTTTGTCTTCGCCACCTTTCAGAGCCCTCTTTCTCGAGAGCTGCTTCTGCTTCCTCACTGGGTAGTGGGCTAGTGTGGGTGTCAACAGCCTCACTCTTCATCTGCCTCCTCTATGCCCCTCACTTGCCTGTCCACGTTGGATAGTAGTTGAGGGCTTCCTCTTCCAGGAACTTCCTCTCTGACTTCCAAGGCACTACTTCCCTATTCTCACACACCTACAAACCAGCAATCTATCTCCAGTCCCTCCTCCTACTCGAATCATCTTTTTCTTTTCTTCTTTGAGACAGGGTTTCCCTTCTCTGTAGCCTCCACCGGACTGGAGCTCGCTATGTAGACCAGGATGGCCTCCATCTCACTGAGATGTACCTGCATCTGTCTTCGAGAGCTTGGATTAAAGGCATGCGCCATGACCTCAGCCTTTGAAGGACCTCTTAATCTCAAGCTTTAAGGGTGCATCCCACTTCTCTCTCTGCCAAGGTAGAGGAGAGAACCAACCCCTAAGGGAGTTATAGAAATTTCTCTTTTGTCACACATGTACGTGTGTGTGTGTGTGTGTGTGTGTGTGTATACATGTGTCTTTGGAAGTCAGAGGACAACTTGTGGGAGTCAGTTCTCTCCTTCCACCATATTCCAGAGATTGAACTCAAGTTGTTAGGCTTGGGAACAAGAGCCTTTACCCACTAAGCCATCCTGTCAGTCACAAGTTTTAGGAATTTCTGGTCACAATTTGAGGGAAAGCAGCAGCAGTACATAGGAAGGCCCAGGAATGCTGGGTGTCCTGCAGTACAAGACGCCCAGCAATGGTTCCCATGTCATGATTTTCTAATGTCCCACCAGATGGTCAAATGACCAAGAGACCTAAGGCAGGCAAGATAGCACAAGTTTATAATCCTAGCACTCAGGGGCAGGGGAGGCAGAAGGGTTGAGAGTTCAAGGCCAGCTGGGGCTAGACAGTAAAAACTTAGAAGTCTACCTAAAACCTAACTCAGTTTCACAGATCCATAATCTTTACAACCCACAGCCACTGCCAGGTAGAGGCACACCTGTAACCCTAGCACTTGGGAGATAGAGGCAGGATTGCCTCAAGTTCAAGGCAAATCAGGGCTACACAGTAAAGACTACATAAATTTAAAAATTTAAGGACTGGAGAGATGGAGATGGCTCAGAGGATAAGAGCACTGGCTGTTCTTGCAGAAGAGCTGGGTTCGACTCCCAGCACCAACTGGGTGGCTAGCAACCATCCATATCTCCAGTTCCGGGGGATCCAATGCCTTCTTCTGAATTCCAAGGGCACTGCACAACATGTGTGCCCTTACACATATGCTGGCAATATACTCATTCACATAAAAAACAGATAAATAAAAATTTAGAAAAGAACTACAGCCATCATGCTAAATCGAAACTGTTTCGGTTTTTCCCATGAGTCATGATTTTCGAAAATCAGGTAGCTGTGGCAATGAAGATCTTAGATGCCAAAACTCAAAACTATACAACTGTCTTACCAAGTGATAGTCTCATCTGTGTGATTTTTAAACATGAGACTCTCTAGCCATGTCCTAGCTTTATTCTCCCCACATGGGGTGCGCCCCACCATGTAGCATGCTCTCTAATTTGTCTTGCTTATAAGTTACCTCCTCCCACTAAAAAGTGCATGCCAAAACCTAAAGAAATGTTTGCTTTACTCAGTCAGTAGAACCCCAGCATGCACTACAGCATCTGATGCATACAAGAGCTCAACAACTGGGCAATGACTCAACCTGATCGTTTCCTATTTCCTACCGCAGTTATGAGCAAGTACTTCCATAACTGAAATAACAACCACCAAAAATAAAAACTTTGTCATTCTGTGAGTACTGAGTTCATTTTACCGTGAGTATAGATAAATTATAGTAGCTATGAGTATGTCCAGGTAGATTTCAGAATATGTGATACAGGATCTGTCAGATGGCTCTGCAGGTAAAAGTCTTTGCTGCACAGGCCTGATGACCTGAGTTGGATCCCCAAAACCAATAGGAATCAACTCCTGAAAGTTTTCCTGACCTTTACACTTGTGCTATGGCATACGCATCTACACTCACACACACACATCATGTAAACACACACCCTGTAATTTTTTAAAGCAAAGCATGTTACATAAAGTGGAAATGGGTAGCACAGGTGAGCTCAATCTCTAGCACCACCAAGAAAATAATAAAGGGGGTTCTGGGTCTCACAGGATTGAGACACATGGGCCTCATTTTTTAACGCAGACCCGTCTTTTGAATATCATAGTCATAAACCCACCTGCCTCCTGAACAAGTACTATTAAAAGGTCCAAAGGTGCCTTAGGCTTAACACAACCAAACAGAACCAGATTTCCCTGCAGTCAATCCCAATCATTCCTATGGAGTTTCAGAAAACAACCCAACTTTAGAAAGCTAGGTATTACCTTTCAGCCCTCCTTTCCCTGGCTCCAGTCTACCAACACCCTCCAGTCTAGTGTCAAAATGGATCTGTGACGCACATACTTCTGTCCACTAGCAAATCCGCCATGCTGGCCCTCCTACCCGCTGCCAGAACATGAGTCTCTACTGGATGCTGCTCTTACTCTTCCTTTCCAATACCCAATACACTGCAACCAGAGCACTCTGCTAACAGTATTCCCGCTAAATTTACAATGAAATTCGTCTCTTACTCATGGCTTATAAAGCCTTACACAATCAGCTACCTGACTAATTTCCCAAATTTATCTTACACCACTATGCTGTCCTTCGCTTCCTAACATATCAGTTCTGGCTTCTCTTCCATTCCTCATCCTCCATCCTAACACAAATGATCGTCCCCAGAATCTGATGCTGCTGGCCCAACAGGTGTGTGCTTGACTGCCACTCTGACTGCTCAGCCTAACACAGCCATTCCCTGTGACTCTGTTGTTCTGTTTCCTCTCATGACACTCATTCAAAGGGCTTCCCATGGTGGTAAATGCCTATAATCCCAGCTACTCAGAAGACTGAGGCAGGAGGATTCAAATCCCAAGACAAGCCTGGGCAACTGAATGAAAACTCCACCCTAAAAAACTAGAACACAACCATTTTAATCATCCTGTGAACAACTTAACAAACAAAACTTTACTTTACCACTGTTGAAAAACTTCCCTGGTTTATTCCTGCTTCTAAAGGGAAAATAGTATAAAAAAAAAAAAGAGACTTACTCCAACCTACCTTTCCAGTTGTATCCTCACAAGTTCCAATACCTACATTTTGCTCCAGGCACACCTAACACTAAAATGGCTCACTGAATATTCCATGTACCATATTCTGTGCCTCTGATGTTCCTGTTGTCTAATGAAATCCTGAATGTCCTTCAAGGCCCAGATCAACTGTCAGCTCCTCAGAAAATGTTCCTAAACCTTCAGAGACAGAATTATGTTCCCTCATTCAGATATACCATCCATCATCTTGCCCAGAGAGACAGTAACGGTATAATTGTTACGACACACTGCTAGGCCATGGAGATTTACAAGCTAAATAATTTTAGACAAATTATCAACACCCCTAGGCCTCAGTTACCTCACCCTGTAATATGGGATAACACCACTCCTTGCTCAAGACTGTTGTGAGGAGTAAGAATTAAAAATTACTTTAGGGGCTGGAAGATGGCTCAGCAGTTAAGAGCACTGGCTGCTCTTGCAGAGGACCCGGGTTCAATTCCCAGCATCCACATGGCAGCTAACAACCATTCTTAACTCCAATTCCAGGGGATCCGACATCCTCTTCTGACTTTTGTGTGCCTTGTACAACATGGGTGCACTTATATACATACAGGCAATACACTCATACACATACAATAAAAATAATAAAATATCAGGGCTGGAAGAATGGCTCAGCAGTTAAGAGCACTGACTGCTCTTGCAGAGGACCTGGGTCTATTCCCAGCACTCACATGGCGGCTACAAACCATCCTTAACTCCAGTTCCAGGGGACTCCGAAGCCCTCTTCACCTCTGAGCATTGCACGACATGGGTGCACTCACATACATGCAGGCAATACTCTCATATATATAAAATAAAAATAATAAATATTGAAAAAATAATAAAATTTTATTATTAATACAATATGACAAAAATGAAACAATATGCGCTAGATACTGGTTCATAGAAGCTGTATGGATTAGTCTCTGGGCTACATTATAGAGATCAGTTATTTCTGATCTCTATAACTTATACCAGGTCCAAAAGCATGAAAAATTTTTTCAAATGAAAATGAAGTTGGAGTTGACAATTACCATAACAATGGAGTGAACTGAAGTTAATTAGGTTTAAGAATTTGAGAATATTTTACACTGAGATGAAATCAGGCTATATATATACCATGTATCTCTCGACCCTAGGCATTAATAGCCCCAATGAGTATTGTTCTAATGGTCTGCCTCATGGCAACTTTTATTACAATTTTTTCTTGGCTTCTTTTAGACTCTTGAGTTATTAATTTCTGGACCTGTAGGCCTCTGCTAATTTGCATGACTTTTAAACTAATCATCAGATTTAAAAAGCAATTTTGCAATTTAAATTCATGGCACTTAATTGACTTCCTACCTCTAGGCACTAATTTATCCTGAGACAGCTCATCTGGCCTACCAGTTCACACAAGTGCACAGTGTTGCTGCTGTGTTTGGGACCTGCACTGAACGCAGTGTGAAGCTCAGAGCTGGAGGTGGTGGCTCCGAGGGACTCCTGGTGTGCTTGCTGGAGCAGCGGTCCAGTACTAGGCGAGAGGGGCCACCCGAGCTGGGCATAAACCAGGGCTTGGTCCAGCATAGGGCGAGAGGGGCCACCCGAGCTGGACATAACCAGGGCTTGATCCAGCACTAGGGCGAGAAGGGCCACCCGAGGTCCCCCTGGCCACGCCCCGAGCTCGGGACCTGCTAACTGGCAGGTGGCCTGGAGACGTCCTGACCCCGGTCACCCGGCACCGGCACCGCCCACGGGCCGAGCACGGGGGACAGAGGCGAGGGGCGCGTACCAACCTCCACGAAGGCGTCCGTTAGGTCACTGGCGCGGTCCATCACCGGCAAATGGCGCCCGGCCACTATCTTCACCTTCAGCTTCCCTGGCATCGCGTCGGCTTCGGCCTCTCCTAGGATTCCTGCAGAAACAAACAAGCGAGTCTGCGCCGAGCGGGGCGCGCGGGGGTGCGCGGAGGAGCGGGAGCGCGCGGGGGACGTCGGGAACGCGCAGGGGCCGCCGGGAGCGCGCGCCCACCGACAGCGGAAGGCGCGCGCGGCCGCCGCACTCACGCTCTGAGCAGGAGCCGGGTTGTCCCTCGCGGCCGCTGAGGCCTCATTCCGGAGAAGCAGCTAGAGGAACAGCGCCGGCAGGTTCTGCTACCCCGGCCCCAGCGTGCTGCAGACTGCCGACAGATCCAGCCAGCATCCCGCCGCGCCTCCGTGCCTTTCTCCTCCCACCCTCCAAAAATGGCGGCGCGCAGGGCGGGGAGCGATCGAACACTCGGCGCTCTGCCCCCTCAGCGGGCAGGATTTGAATTCCCGGGGAAAGACGAAAGGGGCGGGGCTGAGCTTGGGAGCAAGGAAATGAGTCGAGCCCTGCATCATCCACCCAGCCTCCCGCTGGGGCGCTTGGTTTGCCAGGCCCTGGACAGATGTGGCCGCTGTGAAAACAGCCGGGTTGGCGGTTCGCGAGACCACTCCAGTGCGGGTGGTGGAGAGTGTCGGGTGTGGCTGGGCACGCCCGTTCACGTTAGAGGCCGAGGCAGGAGGATTGCCGTGAGTTCTTAGTTCAAGCCGTGTCTCGACAAAGTATGTGTTATCTGAGTTGTAAGTCTATAACCATCATACATATATTGGTATAAATACCATTTATAACATGTAGTACAGCCCCACCCCAGAGCATCTCGGACGTAAGGATGCTTGGCCGAAAGGCTTCGTTCAGCCCTGCGCACTTGAACCCAGTATCGAGGCCGCCGCGGGCAGGGAGTGTGAGGAGGGGCAGGTAGAAACCCAGAGCCTGCTGGCCTGGTGTGAACTCACCGGTGTGAATCTGCTTTTGAGTCAGGCTCTTGCCGCACGTGGTGCTAGCTAGCCTGGGCCCCGCTTTGATGCTCAGGCTGGCTCTGAACTCCCGGCTCCCTAGTACTGGGATGAGAGGCTGAGCAGGACCACGCCCGGCTCTCACTGGAATTACCGAGCATTTAGGACCCTGGAGAGAAGGCGCTGGATGAAAGTACACGAGTAATGAGCAGTAAGTATGGTCAGTGCACGATACGAACCTAAACAGTACCGACATGCTGTGGACGGACCCGCTAAACGTACATGGTGAGACTCTGTTCAGACGACCAGGAACAGGTCCAGGGCCAGAGCACACACTGGATGGAACTGGATCACTCCATAGCACCAGCCACAGCCAGCATGGTTTCCCCAACAGCAGCGTTAGAAGCGCCAAGTGGAAAGAGTTCAGCCCTAGGTTCATGGGGAATGGAAATTCCTAAATGAAGATATCGATATCGGCATGATGTTTTTAACTTCAAAAATACTAAAACAGGAAGGAATCGTTAGTTACTCCGAACAACAGTGAACCGGAAATACCTTTTTAAGGCAAAAACGGCCTGGAGAAGGAATATGCTTGCGTAAGAAGTTGAACTCTTGGGAAATGACGTGCTGAAAAGAAAAAAATCTGAAAGATGAGTTGCTGCTGACGTTTAGGACTAGAGACACTTTTACCCACTTAGACTATGACAGAAAGGGCACGATGCCCCATCATTTCCCTAGACCCCCCTATCCCTTCTTTTCTCAACACTGACTTTCCCTTAAAATGCGTTTGCCACCTCCTACACGTTCGCTAGCATGTACTTGGTGTTTTGTTTTTTTAACCAGTTCTACATGAAAGTTGTGTGTAAGCCTGCCCCTGCTGTGTCTCCTCAGCCAATGCGTCCCCATTTGCCCTTTTCCTTTCCTGCTGAGTGAGATTTCTTATCTGTTCCAAGATCTTCTGGTGATCTTTGTCCAGTTTTAGCCTAATGATGATACCCACCTTGATGCGATAACACCCACACGGACAGTTATGCCGTCAGTCTCCTTCTGCTGCCCCTGTTCAGTGTTGATGATTCATTTCTTCTGTGAACCTGGACTACTCTGTCAACACGCTCTTTTTAGTGTTCTGAATGTCATCTTTTTGCTGGGCATAGAGCAAACATTACACTTCTGTCTCAGCTCTTTGGAAAAAGGAAAACAATCTTTCTCCATTGTGGGAAGGTGCAGTGAAATGCCTTTTACCTTGCTTTGCTCAGAACTCATAGACTGACCTTCATCGTGGTCACCTACCAGCAATTGTAGCCAGACAGCAGAGTCTTTTATTTTTTTTTATTTTTATGTGTGTGTTTTGCCTGCATATGTGTAAGCACACCCATGCCCACAGAGACAGAAGAGGGTGTTGGATCCCCTGGAACTGGAGTTGTTAGCTATCATGTGGGTGCTGGGAATTGAACCCACATCCTCTGCAAGAGCAACTGGTGCTCTTAACCACTGAGCCATCTCTCCAGCCTCCTTTTTTATTGTTTTGATGGCAGGGTTGAGATGGCTTTTCTAATGAAAATGTATTGCCATATTACCAGTTCATTTTTAAAAATACAAAAGCAGCCATGGTGGTGCACACCTTCAATCCCAGCACTCGGGGGCAGAGGCAAGTGGATCTCTGTGAGCTCAAGGCCAGCCTGGTCTACATAATTCCAGGACAGCTGGGGCTACAGGGAGACCCTGTCTCAAAAAAAATAAATTAAAAAAAAAAAACAAAAACCAAAGCCAGGCAAGAGGACTGCTGAGAGAGTTCAAGGCCAGCCTGGGCTACAAAGTGAGACTGTCTGGGGGAAAAAAAAATCACAGACCTGGGGCTGTAGTTCAGTGGTCAAGCACTTGCCTAGCATGCACTGGCCCTGGGTTCAGTCAACAACAAATCAAACAACAACAAATCAAAAGATATACAGCAAAATCAAAACAAAAAAACCCCTAAAGTTTAGCAATAATTTTTAATAGAACATAATTCACTGAATTACAAGATGTGGTGATGTAGAAAATATTTGCAAATGGCACAATTAGAGGTTAGCAGCCTCAGCCTCCTAATTAGTTGACTGTAAGGTACTTGTACATACCTGCTGCCCAAGGCCTCATCAACAGAAGATTATAATTAAGATGCTTCCTGAAGACTTTTTTTTAGTGGAATTAAGCCTGGCTTCAGTTTAACTGTTTCCTAATAATTGTACTAGTTTGTTTTAATTAATGCTGGGAAGAGCACTTACTTTCTTGACATCCTGATCTTTCCTCTGATTACTTTCTTCAATTTCGTATCCTGCCCTTCTTGCAGATTAGATTTTTTAAAACTATTTTATTATTTTTATTTTATGTGTATGAGTGTATCGCCTACATGCATGTGAGTGCACCCATGTTGTGCCATGCCTCAGAGGTCAGAAGAGGGCATCAGATTCCCCTGGAACTGGAGTTAAGGATGGTTCGTAGCCGCCATGTGGGTACTAGGAATTGAACCCAGGTCCTCTGCAAGAGCAACCAGTGCTCTTAACCTCTGAGCCATCTCTCCAGCCCTGCAGATTAGATTTTATAAAATAGAAGTTAATGTATATTGTGTGTGTGTGCTGCATGAATTTAGAACTTGATAGCTTTTAAGTCTCGCCAAAATCCTGTAAGAATTGTCACTTTGTTTTCTATAGTGTTGGGGATGGGACTGTACTTTCAAAAAAAAATTATGCCGGGCGTGGTGGTGCACGCCTTTAATCCCAGCACTCAGGAGGCAGAGGCAGGGGGATCTCTGTGAGTTCAAGGCCAGCCTGGTCTACATAGTGAGTTCCAGGACAGCTGGGTTACAGGGAGACCCTGTCTCAAAAAGACCAAAAAAAAAACATTTTTATTTATTGTGTGCATGTATGTATGTATGTATGTGGGCCCACACGCAGCACAGCACATGCGGAAGTCGGGGATGGAAGTCAGGTGGCTTGGCATCAGGTGCCTTTCCTGGCTGAGACATCTTGCCAGCCCTGCTCCTGCATTGCATTTTATAGATGAGTAAGTTGGTTTTGTTTGTTTCTTGAAATGGGGTCTCATTCTTAGCCCAAGCTTGCCTGGGAGTCACTATCCCAGGCCAGATTAAAACACAACTATCCTGCCTCAACCTCCCAAGTGCTAAGATGACAGGCATGTGTCACAGTGCCAGGCTAGTGAACTAGTTTTGCAAAGCTACAGTAATTACACAGAGTCACAGGGCTGATAAAGAGGGAGGCAAGATTAAATCTCAGCAATGACTCCAAGAACCTGTGGTCCTTAAAAGGTACCTGTAGTTTCCCAACAAAGGATGCTTTTCCCTAGTCCTGGAATGTCTTTTTCACAGTCATTTTAGCAAGCACTTATGCATTCCTAACAGCACAAAGATGCCATCTGCATTTGCTCTTCTGAAGGAATGTATTCTCCGGACTCACCTCTGCTGCTCCTAAATCTAGTGCCTCTGTGGTGGCGCTTTCCTGTCTCTCCTCTCCAAAACTTTGAGCACCTTTGAGGAAAGGACTGTTTCTCATTCATCCGTTATTTCTCACTTCTTGCCCTACATCCTTTCTGCAATCAGCAAATGCTTGAATTCAACTGAGTAAATTAACTCACCTACCGTTCTTACTTTGCTCTCTTCATTCCCGTCTTCCTAAAATCTTGCTTTTACTCTCGCTCCATTCCTTGAAGGCTGAACTTCCCACTGCTCGTCTGTGCTCCATGCCCTCTCCTCCACTGCAGACATGACACACCTCTGTAGACTCAGGGTTAGTCAGCACTCTGACTACCGACTACTACCATCCATAGCTCTGGTGGTAGGTCCAGTGGACACTTAGTTTTCACTTGACCTGACGTGGTAGACTCTTGACGCTGTCACCAATACTATGTCCCTTGGCACTCAGACATCATGCTTCTCTTACCTATTCTGGTATACACCTGGCTCTTCCAGCTTCTCAGCATCCTTGCCTATTAAATCCGGGTTGTTCTGGTGACCCCACCCACCCAGCACTTCAGTTCCCATCTATGTAGCTGACAACTCCTAATGCTTTACCTTTAACCAATAACACTCTTGTGGGATCTTGATCCTATTTCCATTTGGAGAGTGAACTACCTGAACTGAACTACCATTCCCCAGAACTGCAACAGTGATGACCAAAACAGCAAAGCTTGGCCGCCCCCTGTAGTACGAATCTCAAACAGTAGCAACCCCAAATACCTATGCCATTGCTCAAGACTGAAACTCATTGATTTCACATTAAAGTAAGTTCAGTTCAGTTCTTAACTTTTTTCACATTTTGAGGTGACTGAGGGTAAAACCCAGGGCCTTGTGCATTACTAGGCAGGTGCTATTTCAATGACCCACTCCCCACCCCCAACCCCACTTCACTTACTTTTGAAACAGCAAATCAGCTTTGTAAAGAATTAAATAATGTGAGATTAGAAA